AAAACTTTTGACCAATTTTTTTAAACTTTGTTCATTAAGAACTCAATTTTTGTTGTTACTGCTGAATATTTTGATAATATATTACGATCTCCGAAAAATAATGATATTATATTTTGCGAATTTTATTTTTTGTGATAACCACTGTCAACTTAAAATTATCATATGTGCGGATTGGCAAAGTACAGATAAAACAACATGCTATGCATATGTTTTAAGTGACTTTTTCCATAACAAAATTTTTTGATGACGTCATCAACATTTTAGGAAAGACAGGTTAATTCGAATAGATGCAGTTCAATACTAATGATAACAGCCTGCATACTCTGTTTTCGGAAAAATAGGATGAGTCGTTCTTCATTTGATCAATAAAATAGATGCTTCATTCATTAATTTCTTTGAGTCAGCTTGTATAAGCAGTATTAAAAACAATGGATGCATTGATAAACCTCGGATAAACCTCAAGCACATATTTTAGATATGATTAGGCAAAATTTTGAGATCTGGATGTAAAAACTCAACACGGATTCATAAATCATAAGTGTAGGACTATTTAATATAACTTAAATACCATTTACTATTCTTGGTGGAGATGATTAGACAAATTTTGTTTAGCGTTTTACCGTCTACATGATAACACATAAAATTTGCCAAGAATCGTTCCGGTAGTTCGGGAGATTATTATCTGTCTAATAAAAATCGATACAAACGAACGACAGACAGACAGAAACGGGGGACTTATTTTTTCGTGATCTTCGGGTCATGAAACGTCGACGAAACATGAAAGTAGCCAGTCGGCTGATGGACGTTACAAGTATATAGTAGTCGGTGACAAAGGTAGCTTGATCGTCTAGCACCAACGTGAGGACGTTTTTTTGTTAATCACATAAATAAAATCTTCGATCTATGAAATCAATACCAACTAAACTCGTGTAATCTCGCCTTTTTGTCAGTTTACCGCAAGTAGGGTTGTGAGGAAAATATTCCATTTCAGATCAATATACGTACATAGCTTAGCTATTCTGTCACACCATTCTTAATCGTTAAACCACTTAAAACTTACTTACTTATTTATAATTAATTCATCAGTATTGACTGACAAACAATCAAACAAGATACGTAACGGGAAAATTTAAAAGACTATTAAAATTTTAGTTTTCACAGTAAACACGAAATTTACATTATTTTTAATTTCATTTTGCAACTGGCCCTTCTAGTAGTGTTGAAAGTCAATGGGGTGTCATTTTATAGACTGTAAGACCACCTCAAATAACCTTTATATATGTACTTAATACAATATTCAGACCTTTATAATTATTACACGAATATCATAAGCACAGTGTAATATAACTGTTGATTATATTACTAATTTTAATTCTTCCATTGTCCTTGAAGTCTCAACGAAAGCTAAAATCCACTCAAATTTCATGTAGGCTACTTCATAATTTTTACTTATAATAATTTTGGTGGCTTTGTTTTCATATGATTAAATTATGCTATGCTTACCAACATGTGGATATTATTTGTATCAAACTAAAGAAAAAAAAATCCTGGTAACACATTGTAACTATATTTCTACAATCTTACTAGTTTATATTTTGACCCTGCTATCTATTTCGTTTGTACTTGCATACACATACCTTTTAAATGATGCAGCCCCATACAAACGATTGAAGTTACTTTGCCCAAAACTTTTCATTCTATTGTTTAAAAAATATTACATAAAAATAAACAACGTTAAAAAAAAGTAGTGGTGCTATACCTAAGAGTGTAGAAATATAGACTATGCAAGCCCCAAGTATATCAAAAAAAATTCATTACTACTGGCGCTATAATGAACCACACGATTTGCTTCTGTTTCTCGTACCTAATGAGTTTTTTCCCTTAAACTACCTAATTAAAAACGAATTAGCAAATTTAACATTTAAACGGAAAAGTGATTTAGTTGGCGTCTAGCTAATCGTGACTTTGGAATTTTCCGAACATAATGCTTACCAAGAATAGTTTATAAAATTAAGAAATTGTGTATAATGATTCTATACTCGCCCAGACCATCATTACGTTAATGTTAACAACACATAACAAAGGAAGCAAGCAGTATGGTAAAAAGAACAATGACTACAGGATTTCACATTCCAGCATTCGCTCAAAGACGTGAAAACGATGAATGAGTCTTCATGATTATAAATGAGACACCCGCGGTTTTTCGGGGAATATATCAGTAATCATAGTAAGTAAATATTTTAGTAGTATAGTCATCGAATTAACGCATCGGTAATTTTCACAAATTTTTAACGTAAGACAAGGTACGAATTATGCGCCAAATTGGAAAAAAATGAATTCATAATCACGAAAACAGTAACCCCCTGACGAGTATTTTAATTTTTGGCGGGAGAATTCCGTTCGTAAATTTCGAAAGATTAAATATTTTGTAATAACATGAAATACAATTTCCTGATGACGACACCAAATTTTTGGATGAGTGTGGATCTAGTCATGATTAAACAAAACATGCACTAAACCCTCACCCATCAAAAACTTCAGGACAATTAACACTCTTTTTTTTTCATACACTTCCGAGTCACCTTACCATTTTTAAACACAGCAGAAACTAAAGTTTTTAATTATCACAAAACACAATCACTAACAAAATAAAAACTCTTTCGATAGATTAAAAAAAAAAACAAACAAAAAAAAGTCCTACGGGTAAATCACAGTACTGTAACATCTACCACAGTCGGTTTCTAAATGAGTTCCGATTTATTTTTCAAAAATTCTACGGTTGGCTCGGATGAAGTGGGAGATAATGATAGGTGCGTTGACCAATAGCAGTATTTACCTCCATAGAGTGGGGATTACCATAGTTTGGCGTTGGGACGTATGTCTGAGATTTGAGCGTTGCATACTCACGCTATTGTATACACGCTATTACGAGAAATGGATAAAATCCGTATTGGATAATCTACGAGTACACTAGAGCATTTTTTATTTTAGTTCAAACGCAAGTTAAACATACTCGCGCTAATTAGCATGGTGCAGAAGTGGTGAATAAAAGAACGCATTAAAATCAATTAAGTAGTTTTTATTTGGATCAAAGCATACTTTCGTGAATGCAACCAAATTCGTTCTCAACATCCACTTGTATAATGCTTACATTCTTAGCACATTAAAATTTGTGGGCTAGATTTTACTGGGCATTTTAAATCTAATCTACTTATAATTTCAACAATACTGAAAACCAGTTCCAGTGTATACTGCAATGCGAAAGTTATAAACACAAACTTAGAAAAAATATAGACTAAATATTCGCATAAAATTTTAAACCCCTACTTCTTATGTATGTACATATTCCGGTGAATTTTGCTTTTAAAACATTATCACTAAAATCTTGTCAAATCGAATTTAAACTAAACAAAACAATGAAAAAACCTTTATGCTATTGAGCACTGATAGTTGGCGAAAAGTCAGATTAATTTAATTGATCTGTGTGAAATTAAATTTAATTTTAATTCGTTTGTTTCAGATACACCGCATTTAACTCACAGTCTTAGAACTGCCAAAAAATGGATAATATAATCGATTTCAGGAGTGTTCTTCGTCGGAAGAAATAATTGGAACATAACTGGACACATACTTGAGAAGAACGATATTACTTTACTTTCAATGCAAAATACGATTTAACTCATTAAACAAGAATAAATTTTTTGGCAGTCACAAATTGATACACATTTTCGACTTTGCAAGAACGAGTTCTACATTACAGTTTAATATGTCAATCGGTCTGTATTTTCTCGTGGGTCTGTGGGTGTCGGTACTTATAGGGTATTCCACGCAAAGCTAAAGTAGATGCCGCCACCACCACCGAAGGGGCACGAATTTCTAACCAAAGGTTGGCAACAGCCAAATTGACATTTGTGTTTTGTGTATTTGTCAGCTGCCTTGGTCAATCAGTCTTTGCACATTTTGTTTGATTTGAATAAAAATTAACTGTTAATATATCTACTAATACATCCGCCGTATACAGAGGGACAACTTTAACACATGAATGTCACAATATTTGACACTTTTTGGTAATTTTGCCCTTACAGACGTGGCGCCTCTAGTGGTACAAAGTGGCAGTGGAATACCCTATTTTTAATCAAGTGAAACATTTTTAGAATTTCAAATTGAGTAGAAGTGGGTGAGGTAGCTCTAGAAAATTTATATTCGGTTCGGTGCACAAACATATGGAAATTGTTGATATTTTGAGGTTTTGTTTCAACAAACAGAAAATGTTTTTTTGATGTTTAGGTTTTTTCTTTTTACAAAATGGTCTCATTAACGACGTGGGAAAGTCGTTTTTGTATAGAGGATTTTGTCGAAGAAATAGTGGCAAGTTAGATTATTATCTTACCTAAATGTGTACTTTGATTTGTAGCCTTATATGTTAAGTTGATAGTAGAGTTCGTAGTAAATTTAAAAAATCGTAGAATTGGTAGACGATGATGGAAAATTAAGATTAAGAATTAATTTCACCATTTATCGTGGCAATCGTTCACATTAAAAATGAACTGAAACTTCAATTCAATGTAGAAATTGATACATTTGATAAAAAATAATGTATGTTATATGAATCAACTTTTTTGAATAATTGAAATAAAAAAGAACTCTAGAAAGAAAAACTTTACAATTATGAAGTAATAATTTACACTGACGAGTCATATTCTCCACTGATTTCTATAAATTAACAATAATAATTACTTTCTAATTGTGTAGATTAATGTATATGAATTAAGAAGTCGATAATAATTAGTCAATAAAGAGATAGTGATTTTTATTATCGGATTTGGGCAAATCTGATGTACGTCAGGTTTAAAGGTTACTCGTGTCTTAATTTTAGTGCATTGCCACTATTAATATTAAAAATAACTAATATACACATTTTAAAATAAGTCATTCGCAGTCCTTACAAACAGAACCATTTTATTTTTAAGAAATTACCGGTATAGATGACGTCATCGCGATTCGTACTTGTGCGGCAGCATAGTGCGTTTCCTGGAATTGGTCGTTCACTAAAACACGCCTAAAAACTCTGCAGTCCCTAGATGTGGTGGCGATTTCGGCATCATATTCTCTTCCGAGTTGTTGTAAAATACTAATTATATTATAGGTAATTGTTTAAAAACTTTGTAAATAAGTAAACGTAGTGAAAAGTGTTGACGAAACTTGTCATTTTTACAACTTATACACATAACCTAACTGTATTGACATTTGTGTGAAATTGTTTTCAAACATCATTGGCGTAATTTTGGATGTGGTGTTTTTAATAAATTTGAATAATTAATTGGTATTTCCCTTGGGCCTTTAGGTAAGGATAAATCGGAAAAATATCCACACACACCCATCCCCTCCATAGTGACGTCACTAGTCAATTTTGTTGCATGTTGACCTAAACATACAGCCAAAGAGATAAGTTTTTGTTAAAAACCGTGCAAGATTTGTTTATTTATATTGTTTAAATTCGTCGCTAATATAAAAACAAAGTCTCCTTTGTTCTAGAATTTGTCAAACGTTTCGATTAATGCATGACCGATTCTAAGTAAGTAACTTTTCAGGAAGCACTTCTTGTTCCTTGAATACAGTTAATCCACTAAGCATTTATGAAAATGTCGAGTCCTAACGAGTACCACATGGGAGAAGTAGGTCAGTATATTGATTTAAGTCAGTGCTGAAGCCCAAGACTGTTGCGATAGTCTTTACAGACCACCAAAGGTTCCAATCGACAAGCAGCGCCGAAGAGGAAGCAGAAACTGGTTCAGATGAGGAACAACCCATCATGTACCACTATCACACTGTTGAAAAAGCTGCCATTAAGCGTCGTGGTCACTTACCAAAAGATTCAGTAAAAATTTTAAAGAATTGGTTATACGAACATCGATTTAATGCCTATCCTACCGAAGTCGAGAAAAATATACTTTCGCAGGAGACTAATTTAACAGTTCTTCAGATCAGCAACTGGTTTATTAACGCGCGACGGCGATATTTGCCTGAAATGATGAGAAGGGAAGGTTATGACTCCATGCACTACACCATCACCAGACGCAGAAGGGTAAGACGCGGCGTTAATGGGGAGGTCTATCACAAGGGGAGCAAGCAGATGAGAATCGATGGGGGCAGTGAGGACAGTCAGTCTGATTATGAAGAAAATACAAATGGATATTGTGAAGAAGAGTCAAATGAAAGGAAATTTAATCCCTGGCAGGCTGATATTCACTATGGACTTACTGTAAATCCTGCTGATAGAGGGTAAGGTGTTTTTCTTGCTCATCAAAAAATATGACATATGACAGCTGTCAAATGTCAACCTCATGTCATTATTGTCATTAGTGTCATTTCACAAATTGGTTTTTGAGCACCCAGGGTGGTAATGGCTAAATTGTTTTGATTTGATAGGCAGTTTTATTTTTTATGAGATAGAAAGGTAGGTACATGTTTTATTAAAGAAACGTGGGCCCTGTTCCTGTTACAAATTTTATTTAACAGACGGATTTTACTTGTTGATTCAAAACGTTTTGAAATGTCATTTCAGTTCTTTGCTTGACTTTATCAGCGTTACGAATTTACCGCACAAACATTGTGAAATTCATTTGAGCAACTAAAGCAAGAGTAATTGTATTTAATTAATGACTCATATGCTTGCAATCTCTGATGCATTTTCAGCATGTTTAAAATCCCTTGCTTTGCTTTTAATTTGAGAAAGAATAAATTATATTGTGTTGAGATTTTAAAACTTTCATTTTGTTGACTGGTTGCTGTCACGAATTGCTTCAGCAAATACAAAATAAAACAAAAATTAATAAATCTGAACACAATTCTTTAAGTAATGGTTAATTCCCAGGCAGAACAAAACATGAGTAGATATAAAACCTCCCAACTATGTTGGTTCATGTTTTTATATAGAATAATACGTGTTCGTTGGAGACTTGTAGATGGCGTGTAATGAGTTTTATTATAGAGATAGTTTAATTCACAATAAGTGAAAATGTTGCTCCACCTGGACTAATAATGATAACGATATCACGATCTGAATAAAGTAAAAAATCTAGAAATATACCTCTTTATGAGCATTTCATGGTTGGAAAAGCTCATTTATAAATGTTTTTTATTTGAATAATGCATACAGGACCAGACTGTATCAAAGAGGGGGTTTGAGTGTTCATCATAAAGAATTTTTGTTTATTCGGTATTAACGATTAACAAGTTGTGTAACAGTATTAATAAAACAATAAAACATAAGTTTTGCCACATGAAGCAAATGTATTGAAGGTTAGTACCCCACCTTAAAAAAGTTTTTGTAAATTAATCATAAATCATCAGTGAAGCAATACGTAGGAAATAACCCACAAAATCGGATTATAAAATTAAATTTTTACAATCTGGTGAGAAAAAACCTTTGGGACCTATTATTTCTTGTAGTACAATTTGATTTTAAATTATGGCTGAATTTAACCATAATATTAATTAAAAATTATTGCTATTATAAACATATCCCATATCTTGTTCTTATTGAACGAAACTAGAACAGTGTACCCGCGTTGCAAACATGTTTATGTAATTTAACATTAATTTAAATTTATTGTTTAATGTTTAAATAATTTTCCATGAGTGACGTTAATAAATGAAAATTGAAATAACAAATTTATACTCGTGTAGGTGAATGAACAATGTTTTCATTTATGTACAGTGTGGAAATTGATTGTGGGATAAGAACACTGCAACATGTCAATTTTTACGTTATTTTTAAGCTTTTGAGTTATGACGTCACAATTACTTTTTGCACTTTGAAAATTTTGATGAGGACACAATTTTAGATCTTTGTTGTATAGGTACATTATTTTTTCTAATATCCAATGGATGGTTTTTGTCCGAGAACGCAACGGGATATCTACAGAGGTAAACCAAAAATTGAAGAAGTAATAAAATTATCCTCCCAAATTAAAATGCAATATTTAGTGAAATTAAGCTTAATCCTATGAATACAGTAAATGCGTTTCTAGAAGGCATTATCTTTTTCCAGTTTGGGACGTCTAATCCCCACGGGTACACGAATGGCACCAGTGCAAAAATGAGCCAGTGAATTCCTTTTATTTTTCGAGATTTTTACGGTCTTATAATAGGTTGAAAACTGAAAAAAACTCGGTGTTTTTGTATTTTCCTATTTTGTAAAAAAGTTGACAGATGCACCACTGGCAAAAATTAGGTTTTACAAATTACATAAAACATTTGCAAATTTGTTTTTTTTTCTTCTTGTTAAGTAAAGTTTTAAAGCAAATTTTAGAACCATAAAGTGATATTTATAGATTTTAGTTTAACTAACAACAGAGTACCACAAATATCAACCAAATCCCAGTTTTATTATTCATAGAAATGCAAAATGTAATTCACAGAAAAATACATCTCAAAATCGTTAAAATGATATTTGAAGAGTTTATGTATCATGGTTTCCTAACAAATTCTGTGCTAAACTCGCTTTAGATTTTAACTGGGTCTCTTTCTGGGGACGAACCAAGTAGAATAATCCCAACAAGTCAGGTAAACCATTCGTACAGAAAAACAAAACAATATTTTTAAGCTAAAAATAATTGCAGAATAAATTGTAAAATAATTAAATTATTTACAAGAAGTAATTTTTGGGATTGATCATTGCTTGGGAAGTAATTGAATTACAGTAATGAATTATTTGAAATTGAATTACTTCCGACCACTGTTTTGTTTTAGTTCGAGATAGCTCTCTTAAGGACCTTTTTAATAAATCTTATATAATGTCTGTGTCTTCATTAATTTTTGACATGCACATTTTATGTAACCAAAGAATATTGTAAATAAACATCAAAAACATGCAAAATTTTCTAAATAAACCTTTTGATTGAAGCATAAAAATTTAATAATCTCAAGAATTCTTGAAAATGGGGTTATAAAATGTAATATTATATTTAAAAAAATGCATATGACGCCATAGCTTGAAAGAGAATGACGTCACAAATATGTACAGCGATTTACAAGGAGCGTAATTATAAAAAAAAGTGTTTCAGTGTTTTCGACAAATACAATTAGTTTTGAAATTAGTGAATTTATTCCACAAGTACTTCGATTTATTTCAATTAGTCTTAACAACGCGCCGTTCCATTTTAAACTTACAGTTGTTCAAATACAACCCCCACATGCAGTATTTATATCTTTATAACATGTAAGCATTATGCCTAATTCAATTTTTATGCTTACAGAAAACACTGTTGTAATTAAAGATTTTATTTATATATTTTATTTTAGAATCACAGTTGTCGCTGATTTGATATTAGGAGCATAACTAATTTTGCAAGTAGGAAGTGAAACTAATTATTTTTCTTTTTTACATGTCGTAAATTACAGGTAGAAACACAGACACGATAAATTTAAAATAAATCATACATTCATATTTTATTAAGAACGCATTTATTAATATGCATTATAATTTATAGTGCATAGCACAAAATCATTGATTTTATGATTTAGCATTGACAACGTTTGCGTAATTTTCCAAAGAGAAGTATTTTTGTTGGCGTATTTATATATTTATTGACATTCACGTATGCACAAGTTACAAAAATACATTGAAAAGTATCTGGGTAACGCAACCGCGGGGAAGTTTAAAAAAGGTAGAAACCATTAGCTCACTTTCTAAACGAACTACTGGCTTAAAATGTACAGTATTATTCAAATAAGAATATATTTATTAAAAACTGTGTCTCGTGTAAGTATTGAATTTTTCTGTGAGGAGTTGTTAACAATAAACATGCAAAAAAAAACAATGATGAAAACAAAGTAAAAAAAAAAGAATACACTGTGTGCTTGACTTTTGGAATGATTCGTATTTGTGTACAGGAAATCTGACAACCCTACTTATGATACAATCAAAATTATGCTGTTTGAATTTTGTCAAGTGCTGTACAATTGTTTAATTATAATGCGCGATTTATACATTATGGCGTGATGATATGGTAATTGCACGAAAGATGATGAACAATTATTTTAGATTTATAAATAAAATCTGCATCGTATAAATTCATAAATAAAAGGTGAAAATAATTACTCAAGTTATTTAATGGTGTGTCAGATTTGATTGTGACGCAAAAATCAACATACAAGGTCAAGTACTAAGTCATGCCAATTTTCAGATAAAATTACGAAGCAAATTAAAAGAGCACCAAAACCGTTGTAAAATGAAAATACTAATTGGATTAAAAAAATGTATTCACGGATCTCCTATTATTGTCAAACTTAAAACACTTCACTAATGTTTTGGTTTTTACTTTGCTGGGTGATTTAAAATTTAACAATGACTTTATGACCAAAAATGGTTCAGTTTGTAGAATAAAGAAACTGAAATGAAGTGACGTGTAAAGAAAATAAAGTTTTTATTTTTCCAATACAGCTGTTTTTATCTTTTCAGATTTTCACTTCAGATTAAGTTGACAGTATATAAAACCGATGAGTTATCTATTGCTTTATATGAAAGATTTTACAGTGATGTTGCCAGTTTGTTGAAAACACACCGAATTTGCTTGGTTTTTGCTAAAATTCAATAAAGTTTAAGTCATCATTGTCTGTTCTTATTACCACAGATTTTAAAATTGTAATAGTACTATAAGGAAGCACTAGTAATCTTATTGGGTTTTATACGCTGCTAACTTGAAGTGAAATGATTTTACCTTTGATTATTATTATGAATAACATTTCGTATGTGTATGCTGACGTACATCTTTTAAAATTTTCAGAACTGAAACTCTGGAAGTTAGCCACACTGAAGAAGTGGAAAGCTCAAACGATGTTTCCACAGTTGCCACTTACCCTTCCAGCTTGGTGATGGTAAAAACAACCTCCGGTAAAAACGTTATTTTGAAAGTGGTTCCACAACAAAGCGATAGCGATGTAAGTATCTATTTTAAAAAATATTCTTCTTACCTTGAAGAATTGTCTGCAAATTAGGCTCCAAAAACTTTCCTTTTGAAAACTGCAAAACTGGTGAAACAAACAACATCGGCATCACCATGCGAAATTTTGCCACGAGAAGACGTCGTCGAAGAAGTTGAAGACGACGAAGAAGGACAGTTGAAATATGAACAAGAAGAAGAGCAGGTTGAAGAGCAAGTTGCTTACTGTGAGGACGTCGAGACCGAAGAAGGGGATATTCAGGAAGAAGATGTAATCGAAGACGGGACATTTTTAAGTGAGCAATTGTTTGAGAACGCAATGGTCACCAAAACTTTTGATGAGGAGGTATTTGTTAACGAAGTGACTTTGGAGGACAACGTAAATGAAGTAACAATTGAAGATGAAGTTACTTTAGAGGGCACGTCTAGCAATGAAGAAGAAGAGGAACAGCAAGAAGAGGCGGTTGACATGCTTCAGTAAAAACACACTTAACTAATTTATTTATTGCAAGTTGAAAATATTCTTCTTACATGTTATTGTAAGTTTTTTTTGTACAATGTACAATTTCTTTTATAGGATTTGGATGTAATTAATTGTACCCAAAAGTCAACTAGTTAAAATAGAATATTTTTTATAAAACTTTATTCAGTTTGTAATTTATTCGCTAACCTTAATTTGACATGTGCCGTACAGTTTTCGTCACGTTGTTAACAATACTTTACAAAATATATTCGAAAATTATAATTCAACGCATTTAATTTTATAAAATCGCAACTTCGATGGAAACGTTGTTGAGTAAAACAAATTTATTTTCCGTATATGAATTTAGATCTGTTTTGTCAACAACATTCGTCTTCCTTCATTTTAACAATTGTTTGAACGAGAACAAGACACTGGCAAAATTATTTTTCAATCACAGACATGCCTCTAAAACCTAGTTTGCCAAACTAATTACAAAAATACAAACTATACACGCTCAGGTTTGATAAATTTCACGTTCTAAAAAGTTCATTGAAATAGAAAAATAAACAATTGATTTGGTTTGGGCAAAAAAAGGACATCGATTATATCCCCTAAATCTAACACCATGTTGAGACATTAATCTTAGTTTGTAAAACTGCGATCATGCAGATAATATTTACACAATTTACGCTTAAATTTTTGTAAGGTAGAAAAGCCGGAGTGGAATGTAGGCCCTAATGTGTTGGTATTAAGGATGTAGTTTTCATACGTATCTATGGGTGCGCGGTGAAATGTGAACCATTTTTAGAAGGAATACCCATCACAATGGAGGATTTTTTTTGCTTTCAGTGTGACAATTGTAAATAGAACTCTAAGATTTTGTGAAGTAGGGTCCTATTCCTAAATTTGTTGAGACAAACTTGTTTGAAAAGTTTATTCAAAATCCTTTTTGATTTAAATAAAATTATACAAAATAGTTGCATTGTTATAAAAGTAAAAGTTTAGTTTGCAATGGATATTCGCTTTGAAATAACTGTAAGAACTATTCCGAAGACAACTACAGCAACTACAACCTTAAATTTCACATTTACGATTGTTTAAACTATTACGTGGATATTATCTGAGTGATCAGTTGCTACTGCTAACATTTAGCTCTTTAAACCAAAACTAGATAACGTAATAAAAACATGGTTCCAGCTGATAATAAAGCTGCTATGGGGACTGTTATTAACCAGGCTGAGATGATATTTCTGAAATACAAAAACATTAACATCAAAATAGTCAAGAAGTCGAAATTCATACCTAAATAAACTCCAGTCTACTCCTTTTTTTGATGCACTGAAATAACCAACGAAAACTACAGAACCAACTTTACAATGGGTTGTAGAGATGGGGATACCAATTTTACTAGCCAGTAATACTGTAAATGCTGCACCAATTTCAATGGTGAATCCTCTGAAAAATCAAACGATAAGTGAGAACGACACACTTCGTGGTTCAAGCATACGTTGATGGGGTTATTGTGGTCAAATCTTCTCCAATAGTCTGTATTACTCTCCTTCCCCAAAGCCACAGACCCACCGAGATACCGAAACCTCCAAACAATAGTATATATAAAGGTGTTTCCGATTTTTGCTCAACTGTGCCTTCTGTATAAATAAGCCACAAAGTCACCAGTGGACCTATCGCGTTGCTGCAACAACCTGCATTAGACTTCACTACGTGTCGTTACACAATGACTTACCTCACATCGTTTCCACCGTGTGCGAAACTGCCAAACATAGCCGTTAACACTTGCAAGAAACTAAACAATTTTGAGACACTCTTGTTTTCCACGAGCATTTGGTCATTGTCCTTAATGTCTAAAGCGCACATGCCTTGGTCACTCTGTATTCTCTGGTTTTTAGTAATAATTAAAGGAACTCCACTAGAACTGGGAGAGAGAGTAGGATTTACGTCTGTGGTGCTCTCAACCAATTTTAAAGTTTTAGGTCTCGCATGAATTTCAGTCTCTTTAGCCGGCATGTAACCATTTTTGTTGTCGCTGGTCTGTATTGGGAAGATATATTTTGCGGCCGTTATTCTATTTTCCATGGCCTGAAGCTCGGTATTCTCTGATATAACAGTTAATTGACGTTCAGATAAAGCCGTAGAGTTTCGGTTGGACCTTTTTGGGCTGCCTTCCGGAGAAGTATCTAAAAGATGATGTCTTGGTAAAGGAAATACAATTGAGTAAATATTACCAGTGGACTCGCCGATGTTGAAATTGACAGGAGGTTTCTCTGCTAGTAGATCGGCTCTGATTCTTTTCCTTTGCCAAGGGACTACAATCATCCAAATAAGGATCATACTAACTAAAGCGACGGAAAGACTTATGGTAGCGGCTAGCCAGAACGGAATGTTATCCATGTGTAATAACCGAGGGCCATCATGAACGATGGAAAACACGTTGACTAGGATTGTGAAGCTGTAGAAAAGGGGTAGAGACACGAGTCCAGCTTGTACAGGGTCGGGTTTAGACAGGATGCAGTGTTTGATTATTAGTAATATGCTGACTGAAGTGAGACCGCTGAGCACAGGAGAAATAAACCATGAACCCACTAAAATGATAACATGCGTGGTAGAGTCTCTGATGAATGGACGCACAGTGGTTCAGAATTAAAAAAGGCTTGGAAAATTTAAATTCCCTATTTCTTGTAAGTTTAGTGTGTATGTTTCTGTCACAATGCAACTGATCAAAATACAAATCTTCAAAAGTATTATTTTCAAAGAGCCTTTTTTGATTCTGAACTTAGACGAACGTCAACAAGTACCAATTTTTCCGAGTGTCCCCCAGTGTACACCCCTGGTCCCTCTGGCGACAAGGCTGTAGCCAACAGTGGCGCCGACTATGCTGTGGGTTCCAGAAATGGGCAATTTAAAAAACGTGGCTACCATCAACCAAGCAGCGCTGGATGCCAAAGCGCTCAAGGACCCTAGCATCAACTCCACCTCGGCACCTTTGTAGTAGTTGATGTCTAGGATGCCCTTCCGCATTGTGTCCGAAACCTTGTAACCTTGCAAAACAAATTGGCTCAATTAGTAGTGTGATACTTAATTAATTGTCTTATTGCATTTATTAACCCCGTAAATTAGCGGGTAATTAATGATGACATTAGTTACCTATGAGGATGGCACCGGCAATTTCGAACACCGTGGCCAAACAACATGCTTGGAATATTGTTAGCACTTTTGATCCAACACTGGTGCCGAAGGAATTGGCCACGTCGTTGGCACCGATGCCGAAAGCGAGAACGAAGGCTATCACGAAACCCACTACGATGATCCATATCAAGTTGGAAGAGTAGGGTTCCAACATTCTTCTTCTTGTTGGTTGAAAGAAGATGGAGCACTAGATGTTATTCTTTGTGGACGCCCATTATGCGGAAAGAGAGCAGCCTGAAAAAAGTGACACTGAGTCAGCCGAATAGGTTTATTGTTCTTAAGTAGTACTCAGCTCAACACGTGATGACGTAAAGATGAAATTTATATGAATAAGCACTTTGTAATCGAGACAGGTTTAGAAAAATTAGCTTACATTAACGATTGTCATAATTGTGAGAAAAATGTGCATTTTTGCAATATATTCTCCTGGATGTATACACAATATAACTGGGTCTAAGCAAAGGACCCGAAGAATGTAGAACGAATACGTCTTAAATCATGCGAAAAGTATCATCGGTTGGTTATGAATGAAGTTATTTTTTCCATCGAGTAATAAAGACGCAAACGTATCGTTTATTTTATGATTTATTTTTGCGGTTTGTCTATTGCCAGCGTAGGTGTTTGTGGCCTTTGATTTGATGTCTAAGGCAAATTATTACATCTTCGTCTGTTCTGACAACTGTAGAAAAAGATAAAATTTTTATTAATTCGGTTAGTGGAGAAAAATGATTTAACAATTTTCAAAATCATGTTTTCAATTTGTTCCAGTTAAATCAATATAATATGTATATTTTACGATTAAAAATTGAAAAAACTGGCAAAGTAATATTTTATGAATTAAGGCACTGGAAGATTTTATCTTTATGTTTTGTTTTGTCCGTAAGCCTCTTAAGATATATCTACATACATTATTTTTTGAAAATACGTAATATGGTCTTTGTTTACTGTTAGAAATCGATAGTAATTTTTACAGATACCTTCGAATTACTTTTTTTGAATAATTCAGTCACTTTACAAATACTTTTTGCAATTACTTTTAATCAGAATACTCAAAAATATTGTTTTGTTTTTCTCGCTACCAATCGTTTACTTGACTTGCTGGGATTATTATACCTGGTTCGTCCCCACAAAGAGGAGATTAACCCAGTAGGGAGTTAAAATCTAAAAGGAATTTAGCACAGAATTTGTTAAGAAACAAGGTAACCATAATATACATAAGCTCTTCATCTTCATCATCATTTTAAGGGTGAGCTAGAACATATTCCAGCATAGGGACACACATAAATTTCTGACGAAGTTTTTGCCAAAAGTGTATGTCCGATTGTAAAAAACTTCACACCGTTGAAATGAGCGTAAGAAATCCTACCCAGACTGCTTTTCCTTTTTTTAAATTTTGTTGTCAAAAAAAACTACAACTCGTTAAAATTGTGATGAGTATGAGATTATCTGGTTTTCGCTATTTATGGATCAATTTTAAATTTTCAAAAAGGTAAATTAGTGGAAATTGTATTAAAAAATCCATTGCGCTTTACAAGCATAAAATATGTTAATAAATAATTGAGCAAACAGGGGCACAATGTTTAAAGTTTGTGGTCAAACAAACTTTAGCCATTTTTCTGATCCACTCAAATCTATAACAGGTAATCGATAGAGCTCGTCCTATTAAACCCCTCATAATCCGACACTAAAATTTTATGAGAGTGTCCACCGTCTAAGGTTTTCTGAATTTAATATGTAAGTCACAACGCCAAATAAGAGGTAATTAAAGACAGACTTTTAAGTTTACATTATCTTGTAGCTCCCTTCTAAGTATTTAGGAACATCCTTTTTATTAAATATTAAAAGATTGAGGTCCGAAGGTAATTATCGGTGGACTAATTTTTACGATACATTTACACGTAGCCAATAAGATAGTTTGAAATCTCCCACCAATGCAAATTTTTGTTTAAAAGTTGTAGTTGGCATCGAACTTTTATTTGTAGCTGGACTGGATTATCCATTTCTTAGTATTACCTTAATGCCACTGTAATAAATCACTTTGTTCTATGCACACAATTATTATTTATGCACCAACAGCGCAAACTAATATTTTGTTGGAGGAGGAAACTGAAAGGATAAAACACTTTATGTTTGTGATACAGGCACGATTTTTTCTGCAGGATACAAGATAACATTTTGCAAAATTTGCATTGATCTCCAACAAAATATAACATGATAATATTTGATAACGAGTACGAACATCCCAAATTTTTGTACTAGCAATCACAATTCACCACTTTTGTGTTTTAGAACTAAACAGCGTTTGTGATTTTTCAAGTATATATAAAAATTATTGCGTGATTTATTCACCATAAAACGAAAACAGTGAAAAAAGTAGCAATAAACTTCGTAACCTTGATTTTTCCCTTTCGGGCTGTTTTCATACAAATCCAGGAGCAAACTTTCTTGATTGCGACAAAGTCGAGTCGTAGCGTCGACAAGATTACAAAAGTTCACATTGTTTGCTTGATCGGGGAGAATTTATAGAACCGTGAAAACATAGATAAAAACACAAGTGGAGAACTACACTTTCGTGTTTTCTTTTCGACATTACTCAGTTTTCATTCATATACTCGTATTTACAAATAATCGATAGAAAAGGATAAATGAGTTGCTTGAGGTGTTGCTGGTGTGTCAGCTGTTCGCGTAAACAAGGGTTTCTTTTGTACGAATTTATCTTTTTGTTGTCGTTATTTGCTGGCGCGATTTATGTCACAAAACATCGTCGTAAATATGCGTTTTCCTGAAAACAGTTGCTTGAAACATATATCTATGCCGTACAATACCTAATAATTAATGAATTTTCACACTACAGAAACAGAGGATTTAGGTGCGGTATCACAATGTTCAAGTGTACAGTTCCCTGGGGACTGGCTCACCTTTATTATACTAGCGCTAAGTCAGTTTAATATACCTATTCTGCAGTATCATTGAAACTATTTCAACTTTCATTATCTAAAGCTTTTCGTTAAATTTAACGACGACAATTAATTTTACATATTTATTTTCCTTATTTATTATTTAAAGCTTTAGATACATTTACCACAGCTAAAGGAGCATGTCAGCTTAGTTGTTTTGGAGATTATCTATTTAATAAACTTTCCACGAGAAGGACTAACAGACAAATAGAAAGATAAACAGACCGGCGGAAACGGGAAATCTACTTTTACATATTCCGCGTAACAAAAACATAGAATTAAGTAAACATGAAACATTGGTCAAAATCACCGTAATTATCATCTGGGAATCAAATAAAGTGAAGCCGTTGCTGTTAAAACAAATAAACTATGTATATTTCAAAGTATTTAAAATCCATTTTTAGGTAAGTATGGCAGACTAAAAATCGTAAAGCAACCACACCTTTATTCCATTCTTCCAGTGCCTATTCAGTTAACTCTCCTACTTTGGCAGACTGCCAGCAGCGAATTGTTCTGATAATATTTTCATCAGTTGCTGCTCTGGTCTGGAGAAAGATTTTACGTTCGTAATAATTATAAAGAGAATCCAGTGAATTCAACAAAAAATATCCGTTTGCGTGAGGCACTGTTGCGTTCGCTGAAAAATGAATCACTTCAACAAAAACAAAACGGGCGGATTAAATAAAGATTCAGATGCTGGTGATTCATTTTGAAACGGTGGTAAATAATTCAACAATTGACTTTTTTTTTAATGCATATATGTAACTATGGGGATTAACGGAAAATGTGAGAATAAAGTTGTAGGTCTGCTTCTAACCATGATAATCATGTGATATGTTCCTGATCCACCCTAGTCTCTGTATGTACACGTGTTTTGAAGAAAATTAAGTTTGAATTATCAAATTTTGTAATTTATCTGAGGCTGCATATACGAAAGAACTTCTTATTAGAAATTTTGGGGAGATATAAACGTGGATTTAATAATTACAGCACATTCAGTAAATTGTATGTATTTATCTACTCATGAAAGTTGATGATCGTTTAAAAAATGTTTTCTACATAAATTTCTCTTTTATGTTTTTGAATTACTCACAAAAGCTGTTGTAGTTATAGATTAATATATTTTTTATGGTAACTTTATGTTAAATTTATAACTAAGTAAATGGAATAATGAAGGAAAATTTTCCTTAAAATATATATACATATACTTTTTTTTTTCTTGCATTGGTACTACGCTGCGACTACTTTTCTTTTGTACTCTGACTAGTATTATCCATGTTGATGACTTCATTACCAATTTCTTATTGGTCAAATTAAGAACGAGTCACCCCATTTGCTCAAAAATGTGAAAACATCGTCTTTATAATAATAATAATAATAAAATAAGAATTATAATATTCATATCATTTTGTTCGACTGTGAATTAATTTGAATCAAACTAATTTCTACGTGACATTCTTTCAATGTATTAAGATAAATAAACACTCGAGAATGCTGGATATGCTTATCTGTAGTTTAGGAGCGAGGGGAGAAAAACTATTTTTATTTTAATTAAATTTTGCACAAAGACGAAGAAAACCAAAACATTACTTCAGTCAACATTTTAATTTTTTACACTATTTGTCGACGTCACATGAATTACCGCACACTTGTTATTTCAGGATTTTAGTAAAGATATTATTTCATTGCCTTATATATTAAATGCCGGCTCTTCATATATAGACGGTGTTAACTGATGTAATGATCCTAATTACTTTAGACGAACTGCCTGAGCTTTTCGTGAAGTGACGAGCTTCACGGGAGGACTACAACATTTATACATCGAAAGAATGCGACGATTAAGCACGTAGCTGCACGATTTTAATGCTTTTGTCTCATCAAAACGGATGAGGTGATTAAAATTATTAATTAAGCAACTATGGGGCGAAACGTTCTGAATATTATTTTGGATACGTAGTTGTCATTATGTTGATTTTTATTTCATAATTTTAAATATAGGCGGCTGCAAGATTATTGCATTGTCAAATGTTCAAGATAATGGGGTGAATCGTTCTTGATTTCATCAATAAAAAAATTCGCGTTAGTAATTTCACATGTTTATATTGGTACAAAATTTTGTTGTGTTTTTTACAAAAATCTGTAAACACGGATTCATAAACCACAAGTATAGGAGTATGTTATTTCATAAAATTTAAATGGTGTTTAATAAAAAAAAAATGTCGAGAAATGAAAGTGGCCCACGGCGGATGGACTCTATTACAATAAAATGATCAATTT